ATTTCATTAAATTCTTCTGTATCTGCCAACTCTTTTCGATACAGTGACTCAGTACATTCCTTCCATCTTCTTTTAATGCCTACTGGATCATTTAATATTCTGCCTAAATCATCCTTGAAAATATGGGCTTGGTGACAGAAATGAAGCTGGAGATAGAATGATTGAATTTTGTACAATCAATGACTTATTCATTGCAAATACGTTTTACGTTTTATAAGAAACATAAACACAGGATATACACATGGATTTCACCTGATGGTATGCATAGGAATCAGATCGATTACATCTGTAGACAAAACCGCTGGAGAAGCTCAATATCAGCTGTGAAAACTAGGCCAGGAGCTGATTGTGGAATAGACCACCATCTACTCATATGCAAGTTCAAGCTGAAGCTGAGGAAAATTAAATTGAACCCACAGGAGCCAAAATATTACTTTGATTTTATCCCACCTGACTTTCAGAATCATCTCAGGAACAGGTTTGAGGCCTTGAACACTAATGAGCGGAGACCAGATGAATTGTGGGAGGATGTCAAATGTATCATCTAGGAAGAGTGCAGTCGGTCATTACAAAGACAGAAGAGGAAGAAAAGACCAAAGTAGAAGTCAGTAGAAACTCTGAAGGTTGCACTGGAGCATAGAGAAGCCAAAGCGCAAGGAAGAATTCAAGATACTAAAGAGCTGAACAGAAGATTCCAAAAGGCAGCACGGAATGAGAAAGAAAAATATTACAATGAAATGTGTGAGGACCTAGAGTCGGAAAATCAAAAGGGCTGAACTCGTTCAGCCTTTCTGAAGGAGACACTACATGGTTCAAAATCAGGAAGGGGGTGAGTCAGGGGTGTATTTTGTCTCCATACCTTTTCAATCGGTATGCAGAACAGATCATCTGAGATGCGGGGCTGTAAGAGGAGGAATGTGGTGTCAGGATTGGTGGAAGTGTCATCAACAGATGGCACAATCCTGCTTGCTGAAATTGAAGAGGACCTGAAGCACTTACTGCAGAGGGTCAAGAACTGTAGCCTACATTTTGAAGCTCAATATCAAGAAAACAAAGATTCTCACCACTGAGCCAATTAGCAGCATCAGTATGGATGATGAAGAGATTGAGATAGTTAACAGTTTTGATTTGCTTGGCTCTACAGTCAACACTCTTGGTAACAGTAGCCAGGAAATCAAAAGATTAATAGCATTGGGAAAGTCAGCTGTGAGAGACCTCCCAAGAGTACTGAAAAGAAACAACATCAGGCTGGAGACTAAGGTGTGCCTGATTCGGGCTATAGTCTTTGCAGTTATGTGCTATGCATCGAAGAGTAGGACAGTGACTAGGGATGATAGAGAATTGATGCCTTTGAGCTGTGGTGCTGGAGAAGAGTGTTGAATATATCATGGACTGCTAGGAGAACAAACAGGTTTG